GAAATATTATTTATATGAAATAAATACATATTATAAGCAACTTAAAAAAACAAATCTTTTAAAATATAGACTAAAAAAATTGAATATAAACCAGATATGAAAAAAAATATTGTATAACAAATGTATGCGATAATCTAGAATGATTAGGCTTCTGGATTGTAAGCAATCAATTGGCAATATCGCATTTAAAATTTCATTTAGCACTAATGTATCAAGATCTTGCAATTGCAGATTTCAGGCACTTAGCAAGATTTCTAGTAGTGCGGAACTACAAATAAGCCTATAAACTTAAATACTTGCAGGTAACTCTACAAACTGAGTTTAGTTTTTGTTAATACAAAACTTTCTTCATATGCGTTTGAGGTTATGTACGAGGTGATAGATAAATATTATTATGAAAAGTAGGTCCAAAAAGTATCAAAAGCCCGGAGAATACACTATATTAAAATCTCTATAATTTCGTATGATATATTATTAGTGTAATAAATATTATGGAGAACTTGTATTGATGAAGACATTTAATAAAATAGTCACAAATACATATAAAGAAATTATTAAACAATATGTAGGTGGTGATTTTTATATAACTGTAAGCAAAACAAAAATATTTAAATGCGTTTAAAGGATTATTGGCCAACAGATAAAAAAAAATTAAAAGCTTTAAAGTTCATTACGCTTTGGAGGTAAAAAAAAAAAAAAAAAAAAAAAAAACTATAACAACTATAACTTCGGTTAGACCGAAGCTGCATTCCATTCAAGGACAGAATTTTGATCGTTCAGTTTGTATGACGTGATTTGATATCGGCGGTTCCTACACAAGCGAAAAAGAGGTGTACAAAATTTCAGGTCGATATCTCGGAGACTGATGCTGTTCAAGATATAATGAATGTTTTATATTAACTAGACAACTAGAGGCATTTCTATGCAGAAGGAAAAAATAAGACCATTCTTAACCTATCAGGCCGATATAGGACTGAATAATGTTTACACTTTGTATCCTGGTCGTAGCGTTGAACTATTACCTCATATTTATTATAAAATTTTCTTTTATATAATTCTTCCAACTATTCTAACTTTTATGCTTTTTACAATTTTTTAATGTGTTATTTACTACGTTTATTATTTTTTCATGTTTCACCTATTTTTCATATTTTCGTTTTTTTAGAAATGTTTGAAGTGAAAA